ATAAGTAATTTAAATAATTAAATATTGTGAATATAAAAATTGTCCAATTTTGAATTTCTTCAAATGTCCAAACAAATCCTTTTCAAAGTCACGTTCTCTCAAAGAAATCGTGCCCCTGAAGACGTCATTCATGACGAAACTAGTAGGGGCTTGGCTTGCTGGATGCCGACGTCTGTGGAGAGGATTGAGTCACGAGCGCTGTAGTGAGTGTGCGGGGAGCAGGAGACTGCTATGCCATTTGCTGTTTTATGCTGTTATACTGGTGTCGGTGAAGACACCCTTTTTGTGAGTGTAAATCTTTATTAAATTGTTGGATACTTTTATAAAAAAAACTGGCTGCACCATGATTTTCTCTTTCATTCCCAAACATGACCTCGGTGGAGAGATATAAAAAGAGAGAGTGATATAATGCTCCTGGAACCGTTCTATGGAGTGTGGTGGATACCTACCTTATGGATGATTGTGTAGCTATTGATCATCACTAGAGATGAGCGAATTATTCAAAAATTCGATTCGGCTGATTCGCCGAATTTGCGGAATAAATTTGATTCGATGCGAATTTAACTTATATAAAAGGGTGTTTCTAGGCTTCAGAGAGACTTAATATTAGTGCTGAACACTGTACCTTTAATTTAAATGCCCTTGGAGTCTGCTGGGGAAGAGAAATAATACTGTCAGTCAGTATGACATGCAGATGAGTGCCGTCCATCTTAGAATCACCGCACACTTCACTCATTTGGGCAGTCACGGGGCACGACGAAGAAGAAGAAGAAGAAGAAGAAGAATGAAAAGAAGAAGAAGAAGAATGAAAAGAAGAATGAGAAGAATGAAAAGAAGAAGAAGAAGAAGAATGAAAAGAAGAAGAAGAAGAATGAAAAGAAGAATGAGAAGAATGAAAAGAAGAAGAAGAAAATGAAAAGAAGAATGAAAAGAAGAAGAAGAAGAATGAAAAGAAGAAGAATGAAAAGAAGAATGAGAAGAATGAAAAGAAGAATGAAAAGAAGAAGAATGAAAAGAAGAATGAAAGAAGTAAGAAAAGAAGAATGAAAGAATGAAGAATGAGAAGAAGAATGAAAAGAAGAATGAGAAGAAGAATGAGAAGAATGAAAAGAAGAATGAAAAGAAGAAGAAGAAGAATGAAAAGAAGAAGAAGAATGAAAAGAAGAATGAAAAGAAGAATGAGAAGAATGAAAAGAAGAATGAAAGAATGAAAAGAAGAAGAAGAATGAAAAGAAGAATGAAAAGAAGAAGAAGAAGAATGAAAAGAAGAATGAAAAGAATGAAGAAGAAGAATGAAAAGAAGAAGAAGAAGAATGAAAAGAACAATGAAAAATGAAGAATGAGAAGAATGAAAAGAAGAATGAAAAGAATGAAAAAAAGAATGAGAAGAAGAATGAAAAGAAGAAGAAATGAGAAGAAGAATGAAAAGAAGAATGAAAGAAGAAATGAAAAAAGAAGAATGAGAAGAAGAATGAGAAGAAGAATGAGAAGAAGAATGAAAAGAAGAATGAGAAGAATGAAAAGAAGAATGAAAAGAAGAAAAGAAGAAGAAGAAGAAGAAGAATGAAAAGAAGAATGAGAAGAAGAATGAGAAGAATGAAAATGAAGAATGAAAGAATGAAAAGAAGAATGAAAAGAAGAAGAAGAATGAAAAGAAGAATGAAAAGAAAAAAGAAGAAGAAGAATGAAAAGAAGAAGAAGAATGAAAAGAAGAATGAAAAGAAGAAGAAGAAGAAAAGAAGAAGAAGAAGAATGAAAAGAAGAAGAAGAAGAATGAAAAGAAGAAGAAGAATGAAAAGAAGAATGAAAAGAAGAAGAAGAATGAAAAGAAGAAGAAGAAGAATGAAAAGAAGAATGAAAAGAAGAAGAAGAAGAATGAAAAGAAGAAGAAGAATGAAAAGAAGAATGAAAAGAAGAAGAAGAAGAATGAAAAGAAGAAGAAGAAGAATGAAAAGAAGAATGAGAAGAATGAAAAGAAGAATGAAAAGAAGAAGAAGAAGAATGAAAAGAAGAATGAGAAGAAGAATGAAAAGAAGAATGAAAAGAAGAATGAGAAAAATGAAAAGAAGAATGAAAAAGAAGTATTCCAGTCCAGCAAAAAGTGTATCTGCAGAGAGCTCCGCTATTTCTGACAGTTCTCTGACAGTTCCTTCACATTTACAGCGGTTGAAACATTGTATCTATTTATTTCCGAATAAAAACATCTGTATCCTAAATGGAAACAAATAGATACAATGTTTCAACCGCTGTAAATGTGAAGGAACTGTCAGAGAACTGTCAGAAATAGCGGAGCTCTCTGCAGATACACTTTTTGCCGGCTGATCGGGGAAAATTCGATTCGTGCATCCGAAGTTGGCTAATATTCGGATTCGGCACGAATCGAATTTTTCCTGAAATTCGAAACGAATTCCACTTCGCCTGGTTCGATTCGCTCATCTCTAATCATCACACCTGAGAAGTTGATTTATTGCATCGGCTCCCAGAGCAAAAAGCGTTTTTTGCTGATCTAGAGATTGATCAGCATGGAGCTCTGGTGAGTTACCCAACTTTACTTTTGGTGGTGGATTTTGGCACAATTTCTTGGAGAGCGCCTGAATTTGAAAAGGATTTGTTTGGACATTTGAAGAAATTCAAAATTGGACAATTTTTATATTCACAATATTTAATTATTTAAATTACTTATGCACTAAAAAATAGTTTTGCACATAATTTTGATATTTTTTGATATTAATTGAGAATAGATATATATATTTTTTGCACTAATGTTTCTACGCTAAATTAGGAATAGTTTGTGGTTTTAGCGCATTCCTTCATTTAAATTTTTTTTTAATTGTTCTAAAATATACTTCTGGTAGTTTAATTGGCATCATTTGAAATTTATATAGAATTTTTGGAACGATCACCATTTTTATCAAATTTACACGACCAATCCACAACGGGATACCTCTTCCTAATTTCCTTAGTTCATCCTTAATCTCATTTAACATTGATCTCATTTGGGATGTAATTCAATTTATACAAGTTCTTGGAGGATACGGTTAGTTTTATTCCTAGATATTTTCGTTCTTTTTCTCGCCAAACAAAGGGAAATTCCTCCTGCAATCTATTTTTCTCACTATTTGGAAACTTTATATTTAAAATCTCTGTTTTTTGTTGGATTGATTTTTAAATTTGATATCTCCCCGTACTACTTCAGTGCTCTCATTAAATTTGGCAATGTTATCCTTGAGTTTCCCACATAGAACAGCATATTTATTTATTACAGGTACTTATATAGAGCCAGCAATTTACATATATATTGTACATTCCCATCAGTCCCCCGCCCCCCGAGGAGCGTACAATCTAAGCTCCCCAACTCACATTCATACATACACATACTAGGGCCAATTTAGACAGGAGCCAATTAACCTACCAGCATGTCTTTGGAGTGTGGGAGGAAACCGGAGTACCCTGGAGGAAACCCACGTAGGCACAGGGAGAACATGCAAACTCCAGGCAGGTGGTGCCATGCCTGGGATTCGAACCAACGACCCGAGTACTGCCAGGCGGAAGTGCTAACCACTAATCCACTATGACGCCCCATCTGCATATCATCTGCATAAGCTTCCACCTTATGCTCTGTGTCTCCTATCCAGATTCTTTTTATATCTATATTATTCCTTACTGTAGCTAATAGAGATTCTAATGATAAAACATATAAAAGTGGAGACAGAGGACAACCCTGTATTTTTCTGTTTTGCATCCCGAAATACTCTGATAATTTCCCGTTGACCATGATTGCTGCAGAGGGTTGACTATATAATTTCCTTATCCATTCTCTCATTCTAGGACCCATCCCCAATACTTCCAGTGTATCCATCATATATCCCAATCTACTCTATCGAAAGCCTTTTCAATTGAGAGTACCACCACAGGGGGTTTTTTCTTTCCTATTTTTTTGTACGAGATCTCAATCCATTGTCTCTACCCTCTCTCCCTGGGACAAAACCTACTTGATCTATGTGTATCCATTCCGGCATTAGGTCTTTTAACCTGTTTGCCAGAACTTTTGCATATAGTTTAGTGTCTGTGTTTAATAAAGAAATCGGCTTGAACAGTGAGCATCATCTTTACCTTCTTTATGTATGAGAACTTCATGTGCTTGTAGGGATTCCTTCCTCATTTCCATCTTTGCACCCAATGCATTCATATATATCCTCAATTAAGGTACTAATAGTTCTTTATATTTTTTATTATACCTCACAGTATATCCATCTGGTCCTGGACTTTTCCCCGCTATTGTACTTTTTAATGCTAGTTGTATTTCTTCCTGCGTTATTTCTAATTCGAGAGATTTTAATTGTTCCTCACTTATTTTCAGTAGTCCCGCCTTTTTTAGGTATGTCTGTCTTTTTTCTATTTTCCTACCCCATCCTTATTTCTAGAACTGTGGGGAATAATATTATATAGGTTATTATAATATTCTTTAAACACTTTAGCTATATCTTTAGTTGAATACACAAATTCTCCTTTGGCATCCCTTATTTTTTCTGTACAGTTCTGAGCCCTCATTAAATACTTTCCTGGCCTAACTCCCCATCTATATCTCTCACTTATCATTTTATTAACCACCTCCCATCCTGACGTTGTATATAAACGGCCAGACGGTGGCAGTGCAGGGTCGGGTGGCAGTTTATAATCGGCCTCCACACACCCTGCTTGTGTGCGCTCCCTGGGAGTGCGCAGCACCGCGATCTGGTGCCCTCTGTGTCCTCCGGACACAGTGGAACACGGATCATTGGACGGGGCCTCTGTTGGCCAATCAGTGATCACATGCAGAGTAGTAAGCAAGATGTCACTTGTGACATCATTGCTTACTATGTGTGAAATCTGTGAATGATCACAGAGGTCACATGGTACAAGGCTATTCACAACAGCCTTGTACCATGTGACAAGCTGTGACCAATCACAGCTCACAGTAGTTCTCAATGGCTGCAAGAATGCAGCCAGAGAGAAGGAGAAATGATTGCTTTTACATCCTTTATGGTGTGTAAAAGCAATCAGTGTAAAAAAAAAAATGTTTAAAAAAATTATAATTTTTGGTTATAAACTAATGTGGGTTATTTTTCTTTACTAAAAATTTAATGGAATAAATTGTGGCCAAGATTTATGATGAAATAAGATTTATTTGCAAAATTTTATAAGAAAAACACCTTTATTCTAAATTTTTGGACATTTTCATTTATATAGCAAAAAAAAAAAAAAAAATCCCAGCGGTGAATAAATACCACCAAAATAAAGCTTTATCTGTCTCAAAAAAAATGCTAAAAAAATAATCTGGGTACAGTGTTGCATGACCGCGCAATTGTCATTCAAAGCTGAAAGCTGACAATTGGCCTGGACAGGAACGGGGGAAAGTGTCCGGACTGGAAGGGGGTGAAAGTGTCCGGACTGGAAGGGGGGAAAGTGTCCGGACTGGAAGGGGGGAAAGTGTCCGGACTGGAAGGGGGGAAAAAGTGTCCGGACTGGAAGGGGGTGAAAGTGTCCGGACTGGAAGGGGGTGAAAGTGTCCGGACTGGAATGGGGGAAAGTGTCCGGACTGGAAGGGGGGGAAAGTGTCCGGACTGGAAGGGGGGAAAGTGTCCGGACTGGAAGGGGGGGAAAGTGTCCGGACTGGAAGGGGGGGAAAGTGTCCGGACTGGAAGGGGGGGAAAGTGTCCGGACTGGAAGGGGGGGAAAGTGTCCGGACTGAAGGGGGGGGAAAGTGTCCGGACTGGAAGGGGGTGGAAGTGTCCGGACTGGAAGGGGTAAATACTCTTCTCTTCTTCCAGGAAATTGGATTTGAAATGAAACAAACAAGATGTGCTTTAACTGCAGACTGTCAGCTTTAATTTGAGGGTATTTACATCCAAATCAGGTGAACGGTGTAGGAATGACAACAGTTTGCATAGGTGCCTCCCACTTGTTAAGGGACCAAAAGTAATGGGACAATTGGCTTCTCAGCTGTTCCATGGCCAGGTGTGTGTTATTCCCTCATTATCCCAATTACAATGAGCAGATAAAAGGTCCAGAGTTCATTTCAAGTGTGCTATTTGCATTTGGAATCTGTTGCTGTCAACTCTCAAGATGAGATCCAAAGAGCCGTCACTATCAGTGAAGCCATCATTAGGGTGAAAAAACAAAACAAACCCATCAGAGAGATAGCAAAAACATTAGGCGGCCAAAACAACTGTTTGGAACATTCTTAAAAAGAAGGAACGCACCGGTGAGCTCAGCAACACCAAAAGACCCGGAAGACCACGGAAAACAACTGTGGTGGATGAGCGAAGAATTCTTTCCCTGGTGAAGAAAACACCCTTCACAACAGTTGGCCAGATCAAGAACACCCTCCAGGAGGTAGGTGTATGTGTGTCAAAGTCACCAATCAGGAGAAGACTTCACCAGAGTGAATACAGAGGGTTCACCACAAGATGGAAACCATTGGTGAGCCTCAAACACAGGAAGGCCAGATTAGAGTTTGCCAAACGACATGTAAAAAAGCCTTCACAGTTCTGGAACAACATCCTATGGACAGATGAGACCGACATCAACTTGTACCAGAGTGATGGGAAGAGAAGAGTATGGAGAAGGAACTGCTCATGGTCCTCAGCATACCACCTCATCAGTGATCATGGTGGTGGTAGTGTCATGGCGTGGGCATGTATGGCTGCCAATGGAACTGCTTCTCTTGTATTTATTGATGATGTGACGGCTGACAGAAGCAGCCGGATGAATTGTGAAGTGTTTCGGGAATATTATCGGCTCATATTCAGCCAAATGCTTCACAACTCATTGGACGCTTCACAGTGCAGATGGACAATGACCCAAAGCAGACTGCAAAAGACACCAAAGAAGTGGAATGTTCTGCAATGGCCAATCACCTGACCTGAATCCGATGGAGCATTTCACTTGCTGAAGACAAAACTGAAGGGAAAATGCCCCAAGAACAAGCAGGAACTGAAGACAGTTGCAGTAAAGGCCTGGCAGAGCATCACCAGGGATGACACCCAGCGTCTGCTGATGTCTATGCGTTCCACACTTCAGGCTGTCATTGACTGCAAAGGATTTGCAACCAAGTATTAAAAAGTGAAAGTTTGATTTATGATTATTATTCTGTCCCATTACTTTTGGTCCCTTAACAAGTGGGAGGCACCTATGCAAACTGTTGTAATTCCTACACCGTTCACCTGATTTGGATGTAAATACCCTCAAATTAAAGCTGACAGTCTGCAGTTAAAGCACATCTTGTTTGTTTCATTTCAAATCCATTGTGGTGTATAGAGCCAAAAATGTTAGAGTTGTGTCCACGTCCCAATATTTATGGACCTGACTGTATCTAGAAGTTGGCATTGATATATCATTTTTTCAAGGATCTCAAAGATCTACTTTCCTCTCTCTGCACTAACTGAGGATCCATACAGAGATTGAAATCTCCCGCCACAATTAAACTGCTTTTTTTTGAAATCCAGTAATTTTTTTTCCGAGTATCTTTTAGGAATATCTCCGGTTGGGGCGATAAATATTTGCTAATGTACAATCTATTTCTTGTAGTTTTCCCTTCAGAAACAGAAATCTCCCTTCAGGATCTACCAACTTGTCTTCCAATTTAAACCTTATACTTTTCGCAAAACCTATTGCCACTCCTTTAGCTCTTCTAATTGGGGAATCTGCATAAACCACAATGGATAATATCTGGAATTAAACTTCAAATTAGTTTCTTGCCCCAAATGTGTCTCCTGTAAAAAAAAAAAACCACTGAGGACAATCTATGCTGAACCTCTTTAAATATCCTAAATCTCTTCCCGGGGCTATTCAAACCATAAACATTATAAGTCACAAAGTGAATTTCTTCCATCTCTCCCTTTGCCTCCTCCCTTTGCCTGCACCCCCACTCTCCTACTCTCTTGTCCATAACTTCCCCTTCGTTCTCTAAAACTTCTCCAAACTAATGTATCTCCTACTATATTGCAGAGTCTTAACCTACCTACCCCCTCCCCATACCCCTCACTCCCTCCCTCCCCCTCCCATCCCCCCACCCCCCTCCATCTCCTCTCCCCCATCCCCCCAACCCCTTTTAGACCTATAATTTGCACCCACTCTCCATACCCTCCCCTCCACCCCCCTTCCCCTCCCTCCACCCCTCATGCTCCTCCCCCCTCCCTACCTCTCCCCCTCCCTCCCTTCCGCCCCCTATTACCTCCCCACCCCCTTCTCCCCCTCCTTCCCTTACCCTCCCCGTCCCTTAGGCAACCTTTTTGCCTATGAATTATTTGTGTCATTAACCCCACTTTTGATTCAACTTTAAGGTGGTACTCCGACCATGTACGCTTCCCCAGCTACCTTTCCTCCTCCATGTCCTGCTATACTCTAAAAACTGATAAAAAAAAAAAGCTCCAGAGGCCTAACAGAGTGGCAGGAGTGAAGGGAGAAAATGGAGAGGGAGAAAGAATAAAAAAAAAAAAAATTGTTTTTTCTTTTTTTCCCTCTCCTTCCTCCCCCCCTTCCCCACTCCCTCCTATCTTCTCTGCTCTCTATTCCTCCTTATAGCTACCTGCCACCCCTCTTTTTCTATAGCCCATATCCCTCCTTCTTCTTCTTCCCACCCAGGTATCTCTACTTTCTGCAAATCAAGTCTCTCACAGAAGTCTGTCATCTTCAGGATATCTCAATCTTGCTGAACGCCCATTTATCCATCCGATTAAACACGCCGGGAAGCCCCATCTATATTGGACATCCCGCTTCCTCATCTGCTCTAATAATGGTTTCAAAGTTCTCCTTGTCAATGTCAACACTGCTAAATCAGAAAAATCTGGATATTTATTTCTCCCTATTTTATAGCTGTTTTTTTTCTGTTTCCAGATCTCTACTTTATCCGAATGGTTATGAAATTGCACAATTACATCTCTCGGTTTTTCTTCTGAGGAGAATTCAGGAGATCACATTGCAGGGGATTCCCACTCTGAGGACAGAATTCAGGAGATCACATTGCAGGGGATTCCCACTCTGAGGACAGAATTCAGGAGATCACATTGCAGGGGATTCCCACTCTGAGGACAGAATTCAGGAGATCACATTGCAGGGGATTCCCACTCTGAGGACAGAATTCAGGAGATCACATTGCAGGGGATTCCCACTCTGAGGACAGAATTCAGGAGATCACATGCAGGGGATTCCCACTCTGAGGACAGAATTCAGGAGATCACATTGCAGGGGATTCCCACTCTGAGGACAGAATTCAGGAGATCACATTGCAGGGGATTCCCACTCTGAGGACAGAATTCAGGAGATCACATTGCAGGGGATTCCCACTCTGAGGACAGAATTCAGGAGATCACATTGCAGGGGATTCCCACTCTGAGGACAGAATTCAGGAGATCACATTGTATGATTTGTAAAGAATGTATTTGTCTCGCACGGCTGAACAGAAGTATTTGAACCCCTAAGAAACAGCAAGAATTCTGTCTCTCAGAGACCTGTTACTGCACCTTTATAAAGTCCCCCCTCTACTACTCCACTCATTCACCTCACTTAGTAGCCCCTGTCTGAGCTCTTTAAAGACACCTGTCAGTCAGACGCCAACTACTACCATGGGCAAGACCAAAGAGCTGTCAAAAGACATCAGTACAAAATTGTGGACCTCCACAAGGCTGGAAAGGGCTACGGGGCAATTGCCAAGCAGCTTGGTGAAAATAGATCAACTGTTGGAGCAATTGTTAGAAGAATGGAAGAGGCTAAAGACGACTGTCAGTCTGCCTCGGACTGGGGCTCCATGCAAGATGTCCCCTCGTGGGGGATCACTGATGAGAAGAAAGGCGAGGAATCAGCCCAGAACTACAAGGGAGGAGCTGGTCAATGACATGAAGAGCTGGGGCCACAGTTTCACAGGTCACTGTCGGTAGAACACTACGCCGTCATGGTTTCCAATCATGCATTGCATGGAAGGTTCCCCTGCTCAAGTCATCACATGTCCAGGCCCATCTGAAGGTTCCCCTGCTCA